ATAAAAGAGAGAAGCTTCGACGACGTTTCGTCCGACTTGGACCAGGGACAAAGTACACGTGGGGATTTGTAAATGGTCCAAGTCGGAGAACGTCGTCGTAAGCTTCTCTCTTTATGGGGGGGGGGGGGGTTTTTCGGTTATTTGTGATAAAAAATAAGAACTTTTAAGAAAGGAGGAACAAAATTGCAGCAGGCCGTTGGCCATACTAGGCAGGTCCTTTCAATTCATCCCACTAACAAACATTTGCCCAACCCAATTTTAAATTTGCACCCAAAAATAAGCTCTGATGTGCAAAGTCCATTCAAATCCAAACCCTCCCAATCATGTATTATCCTACCTAAATTTGAAAACTCCCCAAAGTCCTAGCCTCAATAACCCAACTAGGTAGACTTTTCCCATCATCAACTACCCTATTTCCAAACCAATACTTTCCTATGTCCTTTCTAAATCATAAAACTTATCTAATTTTTAAAACCATTACTGCGGGTTCTCTCTTGGAGAGATATCCTCAAGACCTTATTAATATCCCTTTATTAATACCTATCTTTCACTTATACAACTTCGATCAGGTCTCCCCTCATTCCTGTTTTAAAAGTGAATGTATTTAAGAGTCTTCAAAACTTTCTTCATAAGGAAGATTTCTAATGCTATGATTAATTTGGTCATCCTCGCTGAATGTTTTCCTAACGATTTATGTCCATTCTGTAATATGGAGACCAGAATTGAGCTGCATAATCTGGGTGAGGCCTTACTAATGATGTATAAAGCTGCAGTTTTGACCTCTGGACTTTTTGTTGCTTACACTTCTTGTTTTAAATCCCAGTAATCTATTTGCCTTTGTTACGACGCTTTGGACATTGCTTTGTCTTGGTTTAAGTTGCTGCTCACCATAACCCCAAGTCCTTTTCGCAATCTGTATGGCTATTAGTTTTACATCGTTTTACTTATAGTGCTAGGGTTATGGGAACACTCCGAGCTTCAGATACACGTGCATTTATCTACACTGTACTGCATCTGCCACTTTTGCCTCATAATGCAAGGTTTGCAAAATATCATTTTTGCATTATATCTTTGGTCATTATATAACTGTTCTTGGTTCAGTTCTGAATCCACTTTCGCGTGTTCTTTTTAGCTGGATGCAGGCGAACATTGGAATGCTCAGCAACCCTAATCATGAATGTTGTAAGTATAACAATATTTTATGATGTTTTCGTGTGTTTTATGATGTGTTCGAGGTTCAACATGGTTAAGGAAGACAGTATTGTTTGGCTAAGTAAATGTGGAGGGGTGACTTCATGCACATGGTGAAGAATTAACTTTTATAAGTGTGATAAAAAAAATAAGGGTTCAATATGAAATTAATGTACTATACAAAGGTTGTTTTAAGTCTTGGCTAAAAAAAAATAGTTTTACACCTACAAAAGTCTATATGCAAGACAAAAAAATAAAACGTGTCCACTGATGGGAGATGACTGACAAATATTAATACCTACCATCACTACAATAAATCCAAATGATTGTACTGCCAGCAAACAGTGAAAAGGACCTGGGGAACAAGCTTTTGTTGGGGGACTAAAACAACTTTGCTTGAAAATTATTACAGTATAATAGATTTACAGTATATTCTCCATGGGGAAGTGGAACAGATTTCTTCTCCATAAGTTATGCGCGTTGAAGAGGTTTGATCAATGCCCCTTCTTACTGTATTTTTTTGTTTTTTTCAACAAGTTGTCGTCTCCCACACCAAAGGCAGGGTGACCCAAAAAAGAAAGGAAAATCCCCAAAAGAAAATACTTCCCATATCTTTCAACACTTTCTCCTCACTCACACAATCACTGTTTTTGCAAAGGTATATATCAATATTTAATGTTTATTTTACTATAATTTAAAAAAAGAGAACCTTTTGTTTTTCATTTTGTGGCCACATGCCTCGGTGGGATCATGGCCAGCGCGTTGAAAGAAGGGAGGATTATTCTTTTCTACATAATCAAACAAACTTAATCCTTGCCAGTTCAGGAGGGTGCCCACGTTTACAGTGTGTCACTAATACTAACATTTCATTTATACCCAAAAAAATTTGTTTATACAGCTCCTGATTCACTATCATTGCCTGAGCTACTGGCTGGACTGGTTAGGCTGGGCATCCACACTTCATTTTCTTTCTAGTAGTTTTGTTTACTTTCTCATTGAGTGCTGCCTCTCTTTCAGTTCTGTCTTGACTCTCCAAAGTCTTCAAGTATTTTCACAGGTTTTTGCACATTTTATATTATACTCTTTTTTTGTTAAGGATAGTCGTGATTGAAAAAGACAAGTCATAAGGCTCTTACTTTAAATGCAATGATAATTGTACTAAATGTACAATGGTATTGATAATTTGTACTTACATTTACAATGTACTGATAAATCTGTATTTACATGTACCTGCTACCCTAAATAAACTTTCACACTATGCTGGTATGAAGGTTACAAATTAAAAATACTATATGGCATTGTTAGCAAGAAGCGCAGCTATGCCAGGTGAGTGTAGAGGGAAAGTGGTATGTAGTGCTTGACCATTCTCTAGGATGGCAACCAGCAACAACTGACATAAAAATCAGGTACCCTTTTAGATGAATGTTAACTGGTAGTGGGTTTAAGTAGACTCTACCCATTATGTCTCGAATTATTTCAACCTAAAAACAAAGTTTATTTCTTTGCAAGGTTACATCGAGATTATTGAAATTACAATCAGTTTAATGGCGGTACAGTGCATAGAGGAAGCCACTATCATTCATGCCGAGGCATTTTGGGCAGACTTCCCCTCTAATTAATGGGTTTTAGCATTTAATGTGAATATCATTCTAGGGTTATAATCCTGAATATTGAAAGTTTTTTAGACAATGTTGCAATGGTGGCCCCAACACTGAACATAACTTAAAAATATTATTGTTTGAACACAATTTTAAGGCACAGTCATTACTACATATATAAAGTCTATGAACTGGAGAGTTAAAACAGGGACATCTAATAAAGAGGAGCCAGGTCAAAAGGCCACCACTCTGGACTCATATGACATTTTTCTGTTAACTGAGTGACACTGTTTAATAGAATTTCACATAAAGAACTGTTACTCCTTCAATTATTAGGTAAAAACTAGAGGTGTGTATTTATTCTCCAGAAGTTAATGTCTTAACTCTGAAACAGCAATTAATGATTAAAACTAAAAAATAGGTAAAGAGAATAATAAAATAGTGAGGGTGGTATGGGGGTAGGCAGAAGATAGGAAATGTAGCATTTTTTGGATAGAAAAGAAAGAAAGCTTACTGACCGCGAAGACAGTTAACCAGTAATCATCAATGGAAGACAGTAACATCAACTGAAGAAAATGCAATTATCAATATAAAAAAGTAATTTGAGTAATCCTTTTTTAAAAAATAACCACCAGTTCAAATGAAACAAAAAACGAATTTTAAACTAAACATTTCCACACAAAGCCTTTTCACCAGAAAAGGCTCTGAGACATCACCACCTGATGGACTTCTCATTCACGAGTCGTAATGCTACAATTAGTGGTTCCCCCATCAAAGTCAGTCGTTGCCCTCCTGGCCACAAAAGATGTTGCATAAACTTCCTGCAAGTGATCATCCTTATGAGCAGTCTTTTAACAATTTGTTAAAATTATGTAGGTTGTCATCCTGTAACTAAGACTCCAGTTAATAATACGAGTTATGGTAATTAAGGACGTAGAACAATTTAGGAGCCAAATCTCTAATGCTTTGGAGACAGATGGGGTCCATCTTAAGGAGAGTTTGTGCTGAGAGGGTCCATGGCTGACTGGGATTCCTCCAGGTTATGTTTCTCCATCTTCAACTGAGTTCTCCTCAGTCATGATCCCCATTTTATATTCGAGAATAAGAGGCATGTGTTGCAAATCACTTTTTACTCCAATCGTTCTTCTGGGTTAAAGTGTAAACAGATGATCCACATTTTCAAACCATAAACTAGAATTCCAAGCAGTTCTTGCTTTTACAATACATATCATAATACTGTGTAGAATTTTTTTTCTTTTTCCAACAAGTTGGTCATCTCCCACCGAGGCAGGGTGACGCCCCAAAAAAGACAAGAATAATGCCCCAAATGAAAATAATCTTATTATTCATTCTACCCACTTTCCCCTCACTCATGCATAATCACTGTCTTTGCATAGGCACTTAGATGTGACAGTTTAAAAAGTCAACCTCCAAACTGCCAATTATCCCATAAAATACCCACTCCTGTTAAAGTGCAGGCCATTGTACTTCCCAATTCCCGGGACTCAAGTCGGCTAACTGGTTTCCCACCGAATCCCTTCACAAAAATACTTACCCATTCATATTATGGCAATTACTGTTGATGTTATCTAGCATTCTTTTTATTTCGACAACTCATTCACTTCACAAATTGACGTGTCCATGGTTTGATCCCCTGGATAGGTGGGAACAATTGGCATATTGACTTACACTGCTGTCCATGTTACACTGGCAGTGAGTAGGTCCTGTGTGTTAGTCAACTTGTCGTGGGTCATCACCTTGGGGGGACAAGATTTGAAAGACCCCAAATGGAAATAAGACAGACAGTTCTTGGATGACACACTGTTAATGGTTTATCCTGGGTGGTTAACCTTCTGGCGTTTTTAAAATCCAAACAAATTCTTCTTTTTAGGATTATTCAAAATTACTATAATACGTACTGTTTCATCTGTATATAAGAAAAATTTTTAAGATCCCACAATTGCTAGATACTCTTTTTAGCTTTCTACAGTTAGAGACATTGTCTACTGTCTTGGATGAACTTTATTTTAGTAGTTAATACATATGCATAATATAAAACTTAATAACCAATAAAATTCAAGTTACATTTAAGCAGTTGAGGCACAATGAAGAATATTTACCTATAAACACAAGGTATTGAAACTCCATACCGAAGGTCTACGCGTGTGTTTGATAGATCCTGCTCCTAGGGATGCAACCCATTCTGTGTGACTAACTAATGTTTTTCATCTTGCTCATGACAGAGATTAACTTGTTTAATCTTAATTCATCCTCTTCTGCAAAAATAAAGAAAAACAAATTTACATATGAACAAATCACAGCAACACATGATTTAAGGAAGAGAACACAAATTTGAGCATATAATACCTATCTTAAGCATCTCTGATGCACCAACCTGATGGGCAAAAAAATAAAAACAGTTATTTTCAAAACATTAAACCTTATAAACTTTCCTTATTGTTTGCATCCACTGCCATATTTCTATGCTATCATTATTCCAACTTCTGAAGAACAGTAATTGCTTTGAAAACTTTTTATACTTTTAGTTAAGGCCCACTGACTACCACAAGAGCCCATTTAGGCTGTAATCCACTTCATACTCTAAATTAATTTTACTGGACAAGGTCTAGCAACTGCAAATACACGTTTGGTGCTCAAAAACATAAAAATCAATGATTGTTTTTGTCGTATTTAAAAGAATTTTTGTTTCCATAAATTATTAAAACTTTGCAGTCAGTTCCTGGGCACATTATGTGCATCTGTAATCTTTTGTCTAATGCCACAAAGATGGGTATGGGGGTGCTTTCTTTTGTGTATTTTTTTTATTTTTTAATAGGGATTAATTTAACTAACAAACCAGTTCCTTGGAGCAAGAGCTCTTTTACCAGCCTCAAGAAACCCCTTCTAAGGATTTTTTTTTTTTCATATAAGATGCACATATTGGAAAGATTAACAAATACATAAAAACTTCATTTTTTAGAACACACCGGCCACCAAAAAAACTAAATTTACTTTCAATCATTTAATGTGGCTAAAAATATGATCAAAATCTCTTAGCCAAAGTTTAATAACAAATTAAAATAGTTATCAATGATGAAAAACATATATAATTCAGGTGGCACGGTGGCCTGGTGGCTGGAGGCTCCGCTTCCAACACACGGAGGGCCCGGGTTCGAATTCCCGGCGTGGGTGGAAAACATCATTATCGAAACGGTTCCTTTACACCTGCGTCCTATTCACTTGCAGCAAATAGGTACCTGGGTGTTAGTACGACTGGTGTGGGTCGCATCCTGGGGGACAGGATTTAAGGACCCCAATGGAAATAAGTTAGGACAGTCCTCGATGACGCACTGACTCTTCTTGGGTTTATCCTGGGTGGTTAACCTCCGGGGTTTTAAAAAATCCGAACGAAATCTTATCTTTTTTATCTTTAAAGCCCATAAATTAGAGTAAAAGGAATCCACAGGTCGGTTTGGTAGTGTCTCAGGCTCACACACTAAGTGTTCTGTGTTTCATTCCCGGTTCGGGTGGATACACTTGGGGCTTTGTTTCCTTAAGACACTGCTGTCCTATTAACTAGCAGTAAATAGGTACAGGTGTGTTAGCTGATTGGCGTGGGTCCACTATCCTGGGGGACTAAATTAATCTAAGTTGACCGAATGCTTCTGCACAACCAGCAAATTTCTATAAGTATATTGCTGATGTCAACTATGGCCTGTAAAAGTTGTATCATGTACTTTGTAGATATAAAGATTATATCATTTATTTTTATCTGTATACCTATGTAATATGATCCATATTAAACGACTAAACAATCTTATCACTTATTATTAAATTTTTATTACGTATTCACAAGTTATAAAATATGTATGTGAGGTATATGGTTGCCCTGATTCATGGAATATTCTATGTGGCTGTACATGTCAAGCTATGAAAACTTATGTGATCCTGTTCGGGACCCATTTATATGATTCTGTAATTGTTGAGGCACAGTTCGGACCCCATTAGGTGTGTCTGTTATTGTTGAGGCACAGTTCCTGCGACCCAAACAAATCTTTATGTGTGTACTTTAAGTCTTCTGGACACCACACCATAGGTATCTGGTGCATAATAAATACGATTAAATAAAAAATAAACTGGTTCTCATAACAACTAAATCTAAATTTTTTCAGCATGTGCTTAACAAATAAACACTTGCTTTAATACAAACGGCGCAAAAATTAAAAAATATTAGTGTTAAAAAAAATTATTGCGTTTATATCTAATAAAAGGTCAATATCCTTCCTTTAGCTTCCTTCCTATAACCTCAGAAAAATTATCGTTCCATAACATATTTCTGATTTTATCTTTACTTAGCCACATGCCCCAATATTCACCTAAAGTGACAATTATCTTGGCAAAACCACTCAGGTCATATATATTAAAGGATTAAATATGTATTTCACCAGAAAAAGAAAAAACAGGTAAAGGACTCTATGGGCCCTTTGTCTAGTGGGGTTTTTTTTTTGGGAGGGGGATTTCCAAGTTCTCTACATCATACGCTGCTATGTAGATAATCTATGTAATATGTAGATACCTGAATAAACTTACAAAACTGATACCTCCCTAGAGTTCAATGTAGGTACTGAGGACCTCCACCTTACACCTCAGTAACTTCACTTACAATGTAAAAAATGAGTAATTGTGACGTCATGGTCGACATCATTTCTATGTAATTAAATAAGATAAAACCAATTTTATTATGTGCAAGGTTACTGTGTGATTTTATTTTAAAAATTGTTGTTAGGTACAAAGGGGAAAGCCACGAAGATAGCTGTGGCATTTAAGAACTCAAGAGAATCAGAGAACGATGGTAACACTGCAGAAGAGGCCTACCGGCCCATGGAAGGGCGGATCCAAGTACCTTTAACCCCACGGCTTTAAGCCAATGCACCAAACCCAGTCTGGTCAGGTCTTACACATTGACTCAAGGGAGGGAACACGGCAACCGAACCGTTAGGCACAAGCTGATCAGGTCCAACTCACACCCACCCACATCTACTCATGTATTTATCCAACCTATTTTTAAAGCTACACAACGTTCAGGAAGACTAAATCCTAGTGTTTACATTAGTATTATTATAATCAAGGGGAAGCGCTAAACCCGTAGGATTATACAGCGCCTGGGGAGGGGGGGGAATGTGGAAGGCATTCAGGCGAAATTCGGGGAACTGGAGCACAGATCCAATTCCCTAAATCAAGAGCCCCTCACCAACATCAAGGAACCTTCCCTGAGGGGCTAGTGTTTACAGACTACTTTAAACTAGACAAGTTAATAGAATGTGGTAAACTTTAATTATTCATTATTTTAGGTAGAGATACTTTAATCACTTTAGATTTACAGACCCCCAGTGGAAAAAAGTTACCAGGACCCAGTTGGAAAAAAGTACGAAGGACCCCAGTCGCGAAATAAGTACACAGACCCCAGTGGAAATAAGTACAAAACCCAAGTGGAAATTAAGTACAAAAGACCCCAGTGGAAAATAGTTCCATAGACCCCAGTGGAAAATAAGTACAAAGACCCCAGTGGAAATAAGTACAAAGACCCCAGTGGAAATAAGTACAAAGACCCCAGTGGAAATAAGTACAAAGACCATAGTGGAAATAAGTACATAGACCCCAGTGGATTTAAGTACAAAGACCCCAGTGGAAAAATATGTACAAAGTCCCCAGTGGAAATTGAAGTACAAAGGACCCCAGTGGAAATATGTTAAAGGACCCAGTGGAAATAAGTAACAAAGACCCCCAGTGGAATTAAAGTACCAAAGACCCCAGTGGAATAAGTACAAAGACCCCAGTGGAAATAAGTACAAGGACCCAGTGGAAATAAGTACAAGGACCCCAGTGGAAATAATTACAAGGACCCCAGTGGAAATAAGTACAAGGACCCCAGTGGAAATAAGTACAAGGACCCCAGTGGAAATAAGTACAAGGACCCAGTGGAAATAAGTACAAGGACCCCAGTGGAAATAAGTACAAGGACCCAGTGGAAATAAGTACAAGGACCCCAGTGGAAATAAGTACAAGGACCCCAGTGGAAATAAGTACAAGGACCCCAGTGGAAATAAGTACAAGGACCCCAGTGGAAATAAGTACAAGGACCAGTTGAATATAAGTACATGGGACCCCAGTGGAAATATGTACAAGGACCCCAGAAACTGGAAATATAAGTACATGGTCCCCAATGAAAATAAGTACAAGGCCCAGTGGAAATAAGTACAAGGACCCCAGTGGAAATAAGTACAAGGACCCAATGGAAATAAGTACAAGGGCCCCAATGGAAATAAGTACAAGGACCCCAATGGAAATAAGTGCAAGGACACCAATGGAAATAAGTACAAGGACACCAATGGAAATAAGTACAAGGACACCAATGGAAATAAGTACAAGGACACCAATGGAAATAAGTACAAGGACCCCAATGGAAATAAGTACAAGGACACCAATGGAAATAAGTACAAGGACACCGATGGAAATAAGTGCAAGGACACAATGGAAATAGTACAAGGACACAATCGGCAATAGTTCACAAGGTACACCAATGGAAATAGTACCAAGGACCCAATGGAAATAAGTACAAGGACCCCAGTGGAAATATGCTACAAGGACAACCAATGGAAAATAAGTGCTAGGACACCAACGGAAATAAAATAGTACAATGGACACAATGGAAGAAATAAATAAAAAGACACCAATGGAAATAAAAAAATAAAAGTTACAAGGACCCCAATGGAAATAAGTACAAGGACCCCAGTGGAAATAAGTACAAGGACCCCAATGGAAATAAGTACAAGGACCCAATAAAAATAAGTACAAGGAACTGGAGCACAGATCCAATTCCCTAAATCAAGAGCCCCTCACCAACATCAAGGAACCTTCCCTGAGGGGCTAGTGTTTACAGACTACTTTAAACTAGACAAGTTAATAGAATGTGGTAAACTTTAATTATTCATTATTTTAGGTAGAGATACTTTAATCACTTTAGATTTACAGACCCCCAGTGGAAAAAAGTACAAGGACCCCAGTGGAAAAAAGTACAAGGACCCCAGTGGAAATAAGTACAAAGACCCCAGAATGGAAATTTTTTTAGTACAAAGACCCCAGTGAAATAAGTACAAGATACCCCAGTGGAAATAATACCAAAGGACCCCAGTGGAAATAAGTACATAGGACTCCCAGTGGAAAAAAGTACAAAGACCCCAGTGGAAATAAGTACAAAGACCCCAGTGGAAATAAG